AACTATACACTAGTCAATAGCCAAAATTTGCTCAATTGACTAGTCAAAAGTCAAATCAATAAACTTCTCAATAGACTGGCCACTAAACTTATAATAGACTAGTAAGTATATTCAATTTTCTAGTCGATGGAGTAGGCAATTGTCTAGTGAATATTATATTTAATAAACGTGTCAAAACATTAGTCAATATGCTAGTCAATAGTCTAGTCAATATTATACTCAAAAGTCAAGTCAATAGGCTAGTTAATAGACAAAGTTGTAGCCCTTGTCATAAAGAACAAGAATATAAAAGCAAAAAAAAAACATCATCTTCATTTTTTAATTCCAAGTTGAAAGTTTTACATTGTGAAATTGCACTTGTTTTATTAACGACTACTGTACGTATGAGTGTTAATGATTTAATGATATTACAAATATTAAGTATACGCCCAAGTTAGAGAGGATGAAGTTAAATTTTGCCTCAGAGAGTAAATCTAAATTCCGAGCGGTTTGCAAGATGTGAGCCTGCAAAAATGGCACCAAGGCTCCAAATCTTTGGGGACCCATAAAAAAGTGTTTAACTTTGGGCCAAACTAGGAGACACGGGTCTTTTTTTCTTGGTCATTTATCACGTAAAGTAATACGATTATATTTGTTCGCCATACACTGTGCTATTTAAAAGACTGTTAAATACACTAGTCAATAGACTATATTCAAAAAACTAATCAATAGACTAGTCTATTCTTGTCTTGTCAATAAATTAGTAATAGGTCAGTAAATCTAGTCCATATTAGCCCATAGTCAATATGGTAGTGAACAGGTTTGTCAATAGTCTAATAAATTCTCTCAATCTCGTACTAACAAATTGTTAATTTAAGTATTTAACAAACAAATCTTTATAAAACAGTTATACTTACCTTACATAAATTTTATTCCCTTACCTTTCTTTACTAATTAAGGAAATAAAAGTTTATTTAATATATATTTTTTGTTTTTTTTATTTAAGTTTATTTCTAAAATTAAAATATTTTGTTTTTTTTAAAGAATTAATTATATTATATTTTTAAATAATTTTCTTTCGTTCTCTATTATTACTTTTAACCGTTAATTTACTCTTTCTCTCTGCAGGTGTGTGTAAGAGAGTGTGTTGTAGTTGGGTTTTTTGTTTACATTTCACTATTATTTCTCTTTAATTGTTGTTGTCTTTATTTAATATGTTGCACTTGTTGTTTATTTTTTTATTTATTTAATTATTTTGCTTTTAAATACAATAATTAACTTATTTTTGTGTTTTAACTGCGGCTGATTGTTTATTAATACATATTTACTATTATTTTTGTTTTTGTTGTAATGTTTTTTATGTAGTTTTAACAATAATACATGTTCGTTTGCTATTTATATGGATTGATCGTTTTATTAATTGTTGTTGTTCTTTTAGTTACCTTTTTGTAGGTTTATAACTATTTATTTATAAGTATAATAATAAATTAGCTTTAAAAGGATTTATTTTACTTGTCATTCTATTGGCATTGTTATTAATATTTTAATTTTTATAAAGCCTTTAATTTACTCTTAAGTTTTTTTTTTTTTTTTTTGTCAATCAATTAAATAAATAACACATAAAGAAGAATTATATTAATCGGAATCATAACTATATATTTAAAAATACATACTTCATACCATAATAATAAGAATAATTGGAATAATTATATAAAAAATATTTAACACAGCTTTTTTTTAATAATTTAATAGTATTCGTATTTGCTTTTAATTTAATTTCTTTTATATGTAGTATATGCTTTTTAACGGATTTATTTTTATATAAATTTTAATTGAAAATTAAAAGAAAATTGTTTACAGACCTGCATACACTAGCACTTGCATTTTTGTGTACATACATATGTATGTATGCAAGTATGTATATATGTATGTATAAATGTTGTGTATAAAGTGTACATTATAGTAATAATTAAATACATACTGAAATATATATGTTGTTATTGTATAAATTTATTCACAATAAATATTTGTTGTATACATACATAAGTATAATTAATACATTAGTATGAGTAGTAAGTAGTAGCAATAAATATTGTTCTTCTTTTTAAATATTTTTATTGTTGTTAATAATAATGCCATGTTATTTTATTTATTTATTAAAATGAACAAAAAAAAAGGGTTTTTTACTTTGAGAATGTTAATGGTATGCAGTAGCTGTCTGTGGTTGTCTTCTAAATATAATTAAAATTAATGCATATTTTGTATTGGAAAATTAATTAATTGTTTTAATAAAAATAGATTTTTAATGAAAATAAACAGGAATTTTTATTAATTGTTTGTATTAAGAAAGAATCTCACGTTAATAATGTTGAAAAAAGTTTAGTAGGTTAAAAAAAAAATTGTGGCTTTCATAGCCAATTAATTTTATATTAAATGTTATTAATTAAAATAAAGTTAAAACAGCACAGTAACAAAAATTGACAGCTGTCGGATGTTTTTTGCACATATTTATTATAGTGCAAATAATAAATAAAATAAGTAAAAGTTAATAAAATTTTATTATAATTAAATGAGAAAAATATTTCAATTATTTAACACATATTAAACAGATTAAAGAGTTTTAAATCATTTTATTTAATTAAGTAAAAATATTTTTTATTAAATTTATATTTAAAAAAACCTACCTGAAACTGGTGATTATATGAAGTTAAACCATTTTCATTAAAAACTTTAAAAAAGTGCATGTTAGAAGAGTTTTGTTTGTATCAGTTTTTTGACACTAGTTACATGGGTATGTTCTCGAAAGCTTCTCCAGAACTCTGAAGGTGACAAATACTAACAAAAATCTTGAATTCTAAAATTAATAATCATTTTCTGTGTTGAATTCCGTCCGTCTGTATATGTCTCTATATGTGCGCATGGTACAGGTCGCAATTTTCAAGATGATTTGATGAAACAATGGTCGGGCCTCAGTTGACCCCATACAAACAAAATGACTTGAAGCTCAAAATTCACTTTTAAAGACTAATAACACGATGAAACTCAGCATAAATAACTTTAATGCAGACATCGACCCAAATTTACCCATATAAATCCTGTTGTAGAAAATCTCTTTTATTGTCAGTACATTAATATATATAATATATCAATACCATATTTCGGAATTAAGGTTAAAAACAAATTAAATACTTTATTATTAAAAACTAACCCATTTTATCAAACTCATTAGTGTAGGATATCATAGCCGACTTTACGTTTACACTTGTTTTTTATACCCTACACCACTTTAGTGGGGAGGGTATATTGGGTTTATGCTGGTGTTTGTAACACACAAGAATATTGGACCTATATCCACATTAAAGTATATCAATCGGCTTAGAATCGGCAACTGAATCCCCAAATGGGGCTTGTAAACCTTGTAATCAAACTACAGATCGCAATTTTGAAGATAATTCAATGAAATTTGGCACAATAGAAGATCTATTGTACCAGAGACGAAGTCTATTGAAAATAGTTAACATCGGGCCATTACTTCACATAGGCCCCAGACAACTGAACCGCCCGATAAGGCTCTTAAGTCGGACAAAAAGCTGCAAAAATGATAGGGCCTTATTTGACCCTAGCTGCTAAAAAAAGTCCCCTTCAAAATATGACTTAAATGTCCACAATTTTATTCAACAGTAAATGCCTTAAGTATATCTGAGGCAAGATGCAATTCAACTCTTTTATAACTGCTGTAGGGTATTATATGGTCGGCCACGCCCGACTATAATTTCTTACTTGTTTTGTTTTAAAATCAGTTAAGATTAAACTTATAAATCAACTATAAACTATAAACCTACCTTGACTAGAACGCGCTAGTAAAATATTGAGGGTTAAAAAGTTGCAGCATATCGAAACGACAGGAATACCAAAGAATAATAATAATATTGCTAAATGGAAAACTTTATTTTCTTCTTTAATCCATTACAATCCACCTTCTTTTTAAACCCCAAAAGGTGGCAGCATCCAACCCATGAAAACTAATCGAAAATGTTTGTTTTGTACTCGATTCCCTTTTAAATAGACAATCTTTTAAAATTAAAAACATGAATTTATAATTTTTTTTATGTAATTTTATTGACAAATTCTTAAAGAGTGTTTTAACACAAACAATATTATTGCTGAAACCTAATTAAATTAAATAATAAAAGGAAATTAAAAATACACAAAAACTCTATTGCACAGTGTAATGAAAGCGTGATTTATTTGAAGTGATTACAATAATATTTTTATTAAGTAATTTTTCATTGTTTTTTTCGTATTGTTTTTGTTTAAAAATTTAAAAGGAACTAATATTTATTGAATTTTAATTATTTCAAATTTTAATTGATTGATTTTTATATATATATTTTTTTTTTGTTTATAATTTTCAATTGTTATTGCTGGCTACTTTATTTTTGTTGTTGTTTTTTGGTATAAGGAGCAGGTTTTTTATTTAATTATAATTTTTTTTTTGTAAAACTGCCCTTTATAAATTTGGTTTAATTAATTAAAAAGCCTTAGTTATAATAATAGTTTTTTGTTGGTATTAATTTAAAAAAAAAACAAAGAAAAGGAAAAAAACCATAAAATATTTATAATTTTAAATACGAAAGTGCTCTAAGTAAAGTTTAATTAATTTTATATATTTTTTTATTTTAAAAATTTTAGAACATATTTTGTTTGTTTAGTATTTGTGTTCAGTTACTAATACAATTTATTTTGGGTTGTTTTTTTTTTTTTTTTTTTGATACATTTTATCTCTAAAATCTAAATTTTAATTAAATGTTTTTATAAGTTTTGTTTTTCTTTAAATATTTAAATATTTATTAATAAATTTAGAATTTCATGTACAGTGTCTTGTTCACTTTATTTTTTCTTTTTAATATATATCTTTTGTTTTATATTTATATATAACTTTTTGTGTTTTTAGGTGAATTTTTAATCACTTTTCTTTTTGATAATTGAAATGATGAAAATGATTTCATTTATGTGTTTTTTTTTAATATGTTTGTTGCCTTCTTTGAGATTTTTTTTATATATAAGTTTTTCTTCTTTTAGTTTTCTATTGTTAACGATCAACTTTTTTCTTCGGGTGTAGCATTTGGATTTTTTTAATTTTTTAACATAGTTTCGTTGCTTTTTTTAAAGATTTTTTATTTAAATACGTTTAATTGCTATCAATTGAAAATCTACTTAAAGGTTTCTTTTTTAATTGGATTTTTTTTTTTAATCTATTTAGCAGTTTTTCATTTTTTAGTTTTTTATTTATTTTAATTGTTTTTAATGGTTTTAGCTTGTGGTTCTCTTAAATCAAAAAGTTTCTAATTGAATAAATTAAGTAAAAATTGTTAAATATTACCCGGAATATACCAGTCCACAATTACCCCATTAAACAACTTATGTGAATCAGTATATTGCAGCATATTTTTTAAATGAAATTTTAAAATTTTACAAAAATATTCACTAAAACTTAAGTAATATAAAAGTTGAACAGAATTTTATAGAATAAAGGTTAAAGGTCATATTCCAACACAAATAAACATTTTGAATAAGAATGTTTAAAGTCGTGATTTACAGTAGTATCTCTATCTGAATCACAGAAAGTTGTAAGCAGACACCTTAATTTGCTATCATTTTCTAGTGAGTGATTTTGACATTCACTGTGGAATGTATCCAGTGTCAACAAATAACAACTTTTAATTCAGATTTTTCATTTATGTTTTTGAATAAAACCTTGAAAATTTGAAATTCAGAATGATTTGTCTGTAAAGTAATTATTTGATTATGATGTTCTAATATAAATGATTTTATATATAAAGTAATATGTAGTTAATAATTTGTTTTTATAACAATTTTAAACAATGAGTGACCTAAAATAAAAACTTCAAATAGTTTGAAATTTAGAACTGAAATCAATTTAAAACTTTTAAATCTTAAACCCAGAAATTAAATCCTAATAAATTATAAAAATCCAAAACTAAATTTGAATAAATATTTTGAAATTAAAAATTCTTTAAATCAACAAACAACATTAGACACTCACTGTTTAAAGTAATGACTGAAATCTCTATGTTTTTTGAATTAAATATTTATATGTATGTTTCAATTTTTTCATTTTTGTTTTTTTCATTAAATACTTTATAATTATATAATTTACTTATTTATTTTTCTTGTTGTAAATTGTTAATAAAATTTTAGAATTTTTGTTTTGTTCATGATTTTTTTATTATAATTTCTCTAAATTTATTTATCGTTATGTTTTTCTCTTGGTTTTATCTTAAACCCTGGCATGCCTGTTTAACACGTTTAACACGGCCTTACTATTGCTTAATTACATTCTTGAATTTTTTATTTAGCTGGGAAGACTGTTCAAAAAGTTGTTTTGTTTTTCAGTTTTAAAAATTGAAAGAAATTTTTATAAACAATTTTTTGTTTCAAAATAAATCTTAAAAGTCAAAAAACAAACAGAAAACAAAGTTATAATTAAATTAAAACTTAAATTAATAACATTTCTTGTTTTAGGTCCCTTATAAAGTAGATTTTTTTGTGGTTTTTGAGTTCAAATTTAGAAAATAATATTAAACATAAAAAAAGTTGTTTGTTTAAAACATACATAAATTTATCGTGTTTTATAAATTAAAGTAAAAAAAAGTTTCATTTTAACGACGCTGCTGTTTGATTACATTCATAATTTCATTGACTATATAAATAAACAAGGGCAACATTATAACGTAGGCAGAGGCCTCTATGGTGTTTGAACCGTTGCAGCCATCTTCGGTACAGCAATAGGTTTGAGTTTCCCAGATTTCTGAAAATGTACAAAAAAAATCAAAACGAGATTTTTAGCTAATTTTAAACTAATCGCTTTGGGGAACACACCTAAAAAGTAGTTTATATATAAATTTATTCTAAACGGAAAATATTAATAGAAATAGTACTTTTTAGGTACTAAACAAATTTTACGCTAGAACTACAAACTACACCACAGACTGGTACATAGACAGGACCAAACTATAGTCTATAGACTAGACCACAGTGGGGCAGAATGGAAATTTTTTGGAAATAAATCTGGCATTTCTAAACGGCTGATGCGATCGGTATAAATTTTGGCGTGAGCGTAGCAAAGGAGTATTCGAGTTTAAGTTTTGAAGATGAACCCTGCAGATGCCCCAGGGACGGCGCTGTGGCGGCTCAAAGTAGGCTCGTGCCATTTTTTTGTTTTTCACCCAAATACAAAGATTTTTATATTTTGTGAAAGCGCTCGACGAGATCTTGAAAAAATATGCTTGGACATACTACTTATCTCTTATAATATCCGAGTTATAGGCATTTAAAAATTTAGTGATACAAAATTTACCATACCTTGGTCCGCCTTTTTTTGAATACCGGGCGTAATTTTGGACCAAATGGACTCAATTTTTTCTTGTTAGTTAGACAACAAAATTTCCAATAATATACAAAAAATTTCAGATCAATATTGTTTACAGATCCAAAAATATACGTTTTTTAATTTAAAAATTCAAAAAATTTTAGATTTTTGCCGTTTTTTTTTGCCAAAAATGTGTCTTAACTCTTTTATTAATAAAATAAAATTTTTATTAAGAACATATAACAATTTTATAGTTTTCTAAAAGGTATCTTTACGCAGAACGCTTTGGCGTAAAAAACTTGTCCTATTTTTTGAAAATGTTGCCACTGCGTCCTTCCGAATATGACCTATTTTTTATCAAAACTTCAACTTTGGGCGACATGTTCTAAAATCCCAAAGCTGGGATCAGAAAACTGAAAGCAGTTTTGGAAACCTCAATATGTTTTCTATTTACTCCAAAAGTATTTTCCCAGCCCTGAAAGAAATGTGGACCCTATGGGCAAAAAAGTAAAAAATACCATTTTTGGGATTTTCATTCCTATTTTTGGGAATTGCGGGATGCCCTTTGACCTTTTCAATTTTTTTTTTGCATTTTCTTATTTGAAATGACAAATTTAACAAGCGTTGAAAATTTCATTGAGTTTTGTTCATAAATAAAGATTTTGTCATATATTACATATTTGTTTAATTTCTAAAACTATGATTTATATCAAAATTTTAATAGGATCGCAGATAGCTACAACAATTTAGTCCATATTTATCCCTTAATATCATTTTTTAGTTAGATATGGAAATTCTTTACAAAAAATTTCAAGCCAATATCTCAATTACATTCAAAAATATGTTCATTTAAACCTGTGTCCTTTAATTTCATCTTTTTCATATTTTAGTATTAAGTATGACAGAACATACATTTGGTGTTGAATAAAATATTTGGACAATTTTTAAAAATTATTTAGTTAATTATTTTATTATAATATTGTATATAAAATAAAAAAATTATAATTTTATTATGAGCCACGCACAACAACACCTAAATCACCCCACACAAATTACCTTTCCCTACCACCGAAATATAAAACACAATTTAATACAATATCATCAGTTAGTATAATAGCTTTTTTTATTTGAACTGTTTATCTTAAACATAATACAATTAATTCTTACAACCTACTTATATAGTTAATTCCTAACACTACTTATTTTCTATAAAATAATCTGTCATATCGGTATACATATCCAGAAGGTAATATAAGTCCTTTAAATCTTCCTTGTTTTGAGATGATAGAGTTTCATAAAAAATCCATCTTTTTCGCATAGTTGAAAGAACAGGATCAGAAGATAGAAGTAAACTATTAAAAATATCTTCATTCTGTGATTGCCTGGAGCATTTTCTTGAGCTGAATAGTTGAACATGCTTAAAATCTCGATTCCTCGCTTCCTGGGCTTCTTCTGTTAACTCTCCAAGTGGAAGAATATTCGATTCAATTATTATTTGACCATGACACAATACTTTGTGTACTGTTGGTGTTAGTTCCCTCCATGGATACAGAGATACAAGTAATTTAGAAATTTCAGATGTGTATTCCCCAAATCGATTTTCATTAATTTTATGTTTACTATTCAGTGCCATTAAAATAGTTTTAACTCTTCGAAGCAACTCCTTGTCGATTCCAGTTATTTTTGAAGTAATTTCAAAATCACGAAAAAACCTTCTCGACGTATTACCGTCATTTGTACTACCGCAACTTGAAAGTGGTTTGTCGATGTTTAATCCCATCTGAACTTTAAATTCTTCTTGGATTCTGCTTTTTTCCGCAGTTCTCAGTTCTTTCAATTCTTCATTATTTTTTGTTGATTTAGTAGGATAGTTTGTTTTTTTTTTTCCTGGATCGCCTTGTATGATGGTAATATATTGTGTCCTTTTTCATGCAGAGCTTTCCTTAATATTTGGTACTTATTTCGACTGAGACCCAGTTCCAACATAAGCGCTATTGCTTCCTCTTCAGTAAAATTTGATTATGATGTTGGAGTTGGTATACTTTCCACAATTCGCTTAAGTCGTTTTGGTGATGCATTAGGAAGAATAGTTGCAATATGTACGACATCCATATGTTGGTTTTCCTTTTTCAGCATTTCGTTAAATGTATCAGCAATTTCCTCATTTGAGATTGAAAAAAGTTTTTGTGTGACCCTCTTTTTTTTACCTTGAACATAAGTCTTCGTATGACTTGCAAGGCGCTCCTATTGATGTGTTGTAAGTTGAGATTTCCGTAGTAGTTTCCATCCAACTACAAAATTTTAATCGAAATTTCTTTTGATTTCCATCCACAGACTTACTTTTTACATCAAAAAGTTTTCAATTTTTGATATGCCTGTTTTGTCTACTTTTCTACTATATGTAGTTTTTATATAATTTGAAATGTCTTCAATTCTTTCTGGCCCTTTTGAAGATATACTCCATAAAACGGAACACAACTCTTCGTACTTTAATGTAGTCTTCATTGTAGATTTATTAAATATGGTACTTAAAATCTGAGAAGTTTACTTATATACCAATTCTTGTCATTTCCGATACAGGTATTCCAAAGTAAAAAATTACGAATTGTCTACCTATTAACATTTAGGACTATATTACTATAACCTGTAATTCAGTCATTGATATTTCTTATTAGTGAATGAATCGAAATTATCATTACCTGTATATTTTTACCTACATGATCATAAACGAAACAGAACGAAATGATCTGTCGAAAAAATTTAGGTAAAAAATAGTTATACATTTTTGAAAATTTAAGCATAATAGGACCTTTCAATTATAAGGATAAGCAAACAAATAGAAAATAGGCAAATATAAGATTTAAATATGTGCTGTCATACTTAATACTAAAATATGAAAAAGATGAAATTAAAGGACACAGGTTTAAATGAACATATTTTTGAATGTAATTGAGATATTGGCTTGAAATTCTTTGTAAAGGGTCGAGAATTTCCATATCTAACTAAAAAATGATATTAAAGGATAAATATGGACTAAATTGTTGTAGCTATCTGCGATCCTATTAAAATTTTGATATAAATCATAGTTTTAGAAATTAAACAAATATGTAATATATGACAAAATCTTTATTTATGAACAAAACTCAATGAAATTTTCAACGCTTGTTAAATTTGTCATTTCAAATAAGAATATGCAAAAAAAAAATTGAAAAGGTCAAAGGGCATCCCGCAATTCCCAAAAATAGGAATGAAAATCCCAAAAATGGGATTTTTTACTTTTTTGCCCATAGGGTCCACATTTCTTTCAGGGCTGGGAAAATACTTTTGGAGTAAATAGAAAACATATTGAGGTTTCCAAAACTGCTTTCAGTTTTCTGATCCCAGCTTTGGGATTTTAGAACATGTCGCCCAAAGTTGAAGTTTTGATAAAAAATAGGTCATATTCGGAAGGACGCGGTGGCAACATTTTCAAAAAATAGGACAAGTTTTTTACGCCAAAGCGTTCTGCGTAAAGATACCTTTTAGAAAACTATAAAACTGTTATATGTTCTTAATAAAAATTTTATTTTATTAATAAAAGAGTTAAGACACATTTTTGGCAAAAAAACGGCAAAAATCTAAAATTTTTTGAATTTTTAAATTAAAAAACGTATATTTTTGGATCTGTAAACAATATTGATCTGAAATTTTTTGTATATTATTGGAAATTTTGTTGTCTAACTAACAAGAAAAAATTGAGTCCATTTGGTCCAAAATTACGCCCGGTATTCAAAAAAAGGCGGACCAAGGTATGGTAAATTTTGTATCACTAAATTTTTAAATGCCTATAACTCGGATATTATAAGAGATAAGTAGTATGTCCAAGCATATTTTTTCAAGATCTCGTCGAGCGCTTTCACAAAATATAAAAATCTTTGTATTTGGGTGAAAAACAAAAAAATGGCACGAGTTTAAAAATTTTACATGTCGTAGGTACCCTACTTTGAGCCGCCACAGCGCCGTCCCTGGGGCATCTGCAGGGTTCATCTTCAAAACTTAAACTCGAATACTCCTTTGCTACGCTCACGCCAAATTTTATCCCGATCGGATGAGCCGTTTAGAAATGCCAGATTTATTTCCAAAAAATTTCCATTCTGCCCCACTGTGTAGACTATAGACTGGGCTACAAACTAGACAATAGACTAGACTAGAGACTAAACTATAGACTACACTATAGACTAGACTATAGACTAGACTATAGACTAGACTATAGACTAGACTATAGACTAGACTATAGACTAGACTATAGACTAGACTATAGACTAGACTATAGACTAGACTATAGACTAGACTATAGACTAGACTATAGACTAGACTATAGACTAGACTATAGACTAGACTATAGACTAGACTATAGACTAGACTATAGACTAGACTATAGACTAGACTATAGACTAGACTATAGACTAGACTATAGACTAGACTATAGACTAGACTATAGACTAGACTATAGACTAGACTATAGACTAGACTATAGACTAGACTATAGACTAGACTATAGACTAGACTATAGACAAGACTATAGACTAGACTATAGACTAGACTATAGACTAGACTATAGACTAGACTATAGACTAGACTATAGACTAGACTAGACTATAGACTAGACTATAGACTAGACTATAGACTAGACTATAGACTAGACTATAGACTAGACTATAGACTAGACTATAGACTAGACTAGACTAGACTAGACTATAGACTAGACTATAGACTAGACTATAGACTAGACTACTATAGACTAGACTATAGACTAGACTATAGACTAGACTATAGACTAGACTATAGACTAGACTATAGACTAGACTATAGACTAGACTATAGACTAGACTATAGACTAGACTATAGACTAGACTATAGACTAGACTATAGACTAGACTATAGACTAGACTATAGACTAGACTATAGACTAGACTATAGACTAGACTATAGACCAGACTATAGACTAAACTATGGACTAGACTATGGACTAGACTATAGACCAGACTATAGACTAGACTAGACTATAGACTAGACTATAGACTAGACTATAGCCTAGACTATAGACTAGACTATAGACTAGACTATAGACTAGACTATAGACTAGACTATAGACTAGACTATAGACTAGACTATAGACTAGACTATAGACTAGACTATAGACTAGACTATAGACTAGACTATAGACTAGACTATAGACTAGACTAGACTAACTAGACTATAGACTAGACTATAGACTAGACTATAACTAGACTATAGACTAGACTAGACTATAGACTAGACTATAAACTAGACTATAGACTAGACTATAGACTAGACTATAGACTAGACTATAGACTAGACTATAGACTAGACTATAGACTAGACTATAGACTAGACTATAGACTAGACTATAGACTAGATTATAGACTAGACTATAGACTAGACTATAGACTAGACTACAGACTAGACTACAGACTAGACTTTAGATAAGAGTCTTTTCTACTCTAGTGTTTCAAAATTTTTAAATATTTCTAACTCACCTTTTTCAGCACATTCAGTAGCACAATCTCGTACAATTGAGAGTTCGCTTACATATTTCTGTAAATAAATGAAAATTAAAAAATAACACATTAATTACACTTTAATAAATTTAATATTAAAACAATACAACACTAGATACACTAGATATGCTGTTAAGTAAATGAAAACTATTATAAATAAATAATTACATAAACCACAAAACGTAACATCATAAAACCAACAAAATAACTATAATTTTGTAGGTTTATTTAGCTTAAAACACACACAAAAATAAATAAACTCAATTAATTTAGTAATAATTATATTTAAATTACACTTTTACAAACAATATTATAGATTTATAATGAATATTTATAAACACGAACTGCTGTTTACAATAATTCATTGTAAAATAGTTTATTTAAATATAAATACATTAATATCTTTCTTTGTATGTGTATTATTCAAATGATGTAGAAATTAAAGTTTTGTAATTTATATAACTATGTAAATAGTTTTTTGGGAAATTTATTAGTTAATTCTTTTTAAATTTAATTTCAAAATAAGTATTGGTTTATATTTAATTTATTAAAATTTTCATTAAGCGTTAGGATAAAGGGATAAATAGAATAGTGCTGTAATATTCTACTACTTTTGATTACTCAATACTACTCAATACTTTTCGTTTGGGTACTCAATACTACTCGATACTTTTAACGGTTTTATTTTAAATTAAAAACGAGGAATTTTTCCTTTTTTTAAGTAAAGTTAGACCAGACATCACACCTCTTTTGAGACATTTTATTTTTTTAGATAGCGTCGATAAATATTTGTAACTTTTTAACTATTATTGCAGTGTTTAAATTATTTTTACATTGATTTGATATTGCTAAGAGTTGCATTTCTAATAATGATATGGTCTATATTAGATTTTAGAGCTGTATTTTTTCACATCATAGCCGTTAAATTTAAATAAGTTAAATCCATATACAAGCCTGAAAGTATTGAGTAACTACTTTTTAGTATTGAGTACCCAAAAAATAGGGCAAATACTCGATACTCGATACCCACTACTCAATACTTTAACAGCACTAAAATAGAAGAGATTATTATGTTTATTTTTAATTTAATAATTCTAGATAAATATGAAATTTATTGCAAAATTGTGTAAAGTTTTAAATCATTTACACATTATTTTCATTGAAATCAAGTGTTGTAAGCTGGGTTGGGAAGTAATCATTACATTTTTAATTGCCATTTTACATGAAGAAATTGTAATTGAAGCTTTACCAATTACAATAACTTGTTTCTAGGTTCAATATTGCATTCAAAACAAAAAGTACCAGTTAAAGAACTAAAATGTACCAAAAAGCGTTTCCTACAGATTTTCACTCACTTTCAATGTTTAATTTTATGTTTCTAGGAAGAAGGAAAAATTATCAAAAAGCCTTCTTATAGATTCTCACTTACTCCGGGCTATACACGCTTAATTTAATGTTTCTAGGTTCAATATTATACAAATTCAAAAATTACCTATTGAGAACGAAAAAGTACCAAAAAGTCCCCTTTTATAGATTCTCACCTAAACCGGGCATGTAGGGCCCGGTACCTATTCTAGAACGAAAAAGTACCAAAAAGTCCCCTTTAATAGATTTTCCCCTATTCTATTCTAGAACGAAAAAGTACCAAAAAGTCCCCTTTAATAGATTTTCCCCTAATCAAGGCCCTGCATGTTAAATTTCATGTTTCATTATAAAAAAGTCAAAAAGTACCTTTTGTAGAACGAAAAAGTACCAAAAAGTCTCCTTTTATAGAGTCATGCTTCATTTCATGTTTCTAGGTTTAATGTTGGAGAAAATTCAAAACGCATCTTTTTAAGAACCAAAAAGTTCCAAAGAACGAAAAGTTCTCAAGAAAGCATATTCCTTAAATCTTTTAGCTGTTATGGTTGGACTAATATGTATCATTTTTATTTACGACTGCAGTGACTTTTTCAAAACATACACATTCAAAAGGTATCACACTAAAATGAGAGAAAAACCAATATTGCACGAAACGAATTTGTTTCAAAAAATATATGCACATTTGTAAAGAAAGGGTCACTCGCAGAAGAATAAATTTTTAAATTCATAATCGGCGTTGTGGCATTATATTGTGTGTCGTATATGCATAATAAAAGCTATTACAACACTATGACACTAATTAGGAATTGAACAAACATTAATACCCAATAGTTGTAAAGATGTAATTCAATAAGAAACCAAACATTATTCTTGAAATTAGTCACTGAGTCAGTTATTTCAAGCTTACATTTTAAGAAATTACAACAATAGTAATCTAAATAAAATATTGTATAACATAAAAGGGGAAAGTTTAAGACCTTTGTATTCTACAAAACTCAATAAAATATATTAAAGGTCAAATGCAACAAAAATATCTATTCAGCTAGTTTCTAGGATATGTGTTAAAGTAATTGATTTTCATAAAACTTAACCTTTAATGTTCGAACTCTGCGGGAATATATCAACTTTTAGTTAACCTTTAGTCACTTGCTTTAAAAACAAAAGACACCTCCTACTTTAAACAAAAACTTTAGCCTTAAAAGTGTCATTTTGTAATTGCTTTTATACTATAGATAAAAATTTAAAATTTCTGTTCAAAGCAATTAAAAATACTCAAATTTCTCTTTAGAGCTGAAAAAAACGTATTTACTGTTTAAACTTAAATACACACAAATAAATTCGCTTTAGCAAACTAGTAATTATCACAAAAGTTTGACCTGAATTAGCACTAAAAATAACATTTCTCAGTCATCTGTATAATTAATTAAAATTGCTTGCCATTAACCTCAATAAAACATATAAATTAACACAGACCTTCTAACACAAATTTGAACACACAAATCTACAAATTACTATAAAATTCTTGTCTCTAAATGCAACTACAACACAAAAATCAGGTGTTATATTTGAATTACAATTTACATGACATTACACAGAGACACCGATACACAGACAAATATACACGCAATGCACAAAATCTTAATGTTGTCTCTTATATAGTTTACATGTATAGGTATACCATGAACACAGAAAGTACTTACAAAAACCACAATTGTAAAAACATTTGAAAAACACAACATGAGAGTTTAAAAACATACTTGTAGCAAAAACAACAATAAAATCCAATTATATGTCTTTTAAAGTTGATAACCCCTTTTTTGGAAAATAACTTTAATAAAGTTCAAAACTGAATTGTATGCAAACAAGTAGAAGAGAGAGAGAGAGATAGAAGAGAAGACTTTGGAAATGAACAAACATGACACCAATGTTTCCTGTTTATTGTTGAAGTGTAGGTGTTAAATTTTGTCAAAATATGTGTTAGTGAGTGTATGGGTTCACTTACATATACATTTGCTATTCACATTATGCATTTTCTGTTGAAAGGTTTTTATCATGCAAACTAAAAATTAATGTAAATTACCATTTTTTAGCTGTACTGTAAAAATTTCATTGCGAATTTAAACATTAAATTGCCTATGATTTCCTATCATTCATTTTTATAATTTAAGACTTTAACAATAGCTGCTAAATGCAAAAATCTAACTTTATCAAACTTCGTCTTTCTTGCCACCTTAATTTTCCGCTTCAAATATTTTTCAAACTATAGTTAAGCAGAAAAAAAAACAATTTTCAATTAAGCATCCTGTTATAAAAACTTTGAATTCATTTTTGCCATTAACCTTAAGTGTCAATAACTATGTCAATTAGTTTCATTCTATTCTATATTATTTTTGTTTAACTTTTTTTCTGCTGATGATCGTAGAAGTTATTATTTAGTTTTTTTTTTCATATTTTTCTTCATCTCATATATTGTATTGATTGGCGGAAGGAAGTAAATGAACAAAAAATGTGCATGGAAAAGTTGGTTAACTATAAACTTGGTAAATGCTAGCTGAAAAAGTTTAATTAATTTAAAGTTTGCTGAAGAATAATTTTAATGATGAAATTAGAAAAAGTTAAGTAAAATGAAAAAAGTATTAAGCAAAAACTAAGCTTAGAAATTGTAATATGTACTTGACTCAAAATTTGGGTTTAACAGAGCTACAATACGTATGAGTGATAATAGTTTCAACAAGTGCATTACATATTAAGTATACGCCCACGTATTGCTATAAAATATGGGGAAATGAAAACTTACATATTTAAAATATCTTTAAACAGTAAACTATATTTAAAAATTTTTTGTGTTGGTATAGAATTTCTCTGAATTTATTTACAGCAGATACCTTTAACCTTTACATAACGTTTGAAAATCATCATCAACAACCATATTAAGTACTTTACCTTAAAGTGTCACAAAAACATATTCATACAAACACTAACAAAAACATATCCTGTCATTTGCACATTTATTGCATTTTTAGCACAAAAATAAAAATAACATTCTACTTAAGTTTTTAGAAATAAAAATAAGGAAAATGTTAGAAACAAAAAACAATAAAACTAGAGGCAATATATGCACGTACTTTAAACGGCTACACACCAGCAAACGTATTTTACATATAAGCGAATGTAAAAATTCTTTCTTCCAGCAACAAGCACTTAAAATACTTAAGAAATGCAAATGTTTTATATTTGAATGTAGAAATGTCGTCTAAAATGTCTATTGAGTTCAATATCTTTTAGTATGTCTTAATGTTTAAAATGTTTATTGCTTTGCAAATGTATTTTTAAAGATAAAACGTTTCTTTTTTCCAATGTTAAAATGAGCTATTTAGCATTTCAATAATTATTTAAATAATTCATTTAAAATTTCAACGTTTTTTAAAGCAGTTGGTGACATATTTTAGTTTTTTACATTTATGGATTAAATGTAAATATTTTATGTTGTTTTAGTGTGTTCGCTGAAATGTATCATGTGTACAAATAATTAAATAGTTTTGCATAAATTTATTTTTTTAAATACGCACAAACAGACATAGTGCATAGCGTGGAATGGTCATGCATTGAAGTATCATGTCAATTATTCATAAACATGTTTGATATTTTGTAATCAACGACTAAATGTATGCAAAT